TTCTCTCCTGATGATAAAATTGTCGTATTGAAGACATAGCTACTGTATATAATTTTTTGGTTTGTTTTATATTTTGTCACATAACTACAAATACAGTTAATATGGTTAAAAGTAGTAATTAATAGTTACCACAGTCTGTCATCTTCTAGGCTGTGTTTGATGCTACTGTTACTGCTGATTGTGCTACTTTAGCCAAGGTGACATGATTGTTCTAATCAGCTGTTCTTCCTGGCGCACCAAGACTGAGATTGCCTAAGGGCCATAAATAATACTGGTCAGTGCCAGAAAATAGGGGTAGGCTAAACAGGCAGCAACTTCTCATCCCCAATAAATTGAAGAGATAGAATCTTGAAACAAAACCCCAAAACCAGCTATACCTGGAAGACACCTCTGAGAAATAATCATTTCCTAAGGGTTTTAAATACAAGCAATAAATACTGCCATATATAATTTATTAGCATCAACCCAGGAATTAAGTTAAAATTAAAAAAAAAAAAGAAGAAGAAGACGAGCCGAGCATATTGGCACATGCCTGTAGTCCCAGCACTTGGAAGACAGAGGCAGGAGGATCACCACGAGTTTGAGGCCAGCCTGAACTATATTGTGAGACCCTGTCTCACAAAACAAAAACAGAAAATGAAAAGACATGGCAGCGAGATGCAGCCCCAGACTTCCAGCTCACCAAAGACAAACTCGGGACAGTGAGGCGGAACAGTTTGAAAGCCCCCACCTGGGCTGTCTGAAGTGGTAACAGCAGAAGTAACAAAGCAGGGCTAGGGATTTAGCTCAGTGCTTCCACCGCCTGCCTCACAAGCGCAAGGTCCCGAGTTCGATCTCTGGTACCAAAAAAATAAAAATTAAAAAAAAAAAGAAAAGAAAAGAAATAGAGGACAAGCTTGTAAGGTTAGCAATCGTGAAAGAAATAACAATAAAATTTGTTGGGGATGTAGCTCGGTGTGAAAGTCCCGAATTCAGTTCCCCAGTACTGCCAAGAAAACAATTTTCATGAAGTTGTACAATGTGTTTGTGCCTCTTTTCCCAGATCATTTTCTCTGTTAGACGATGTGTGCGGTACACACTGTCTGCGCTCCTTGTGGGGCGTCGGTCCGCGCACAGAACACATCTTCATTCCCTTTGCAGTGCCCGTTCTTCCCTCCTCCTCCTTCCTCCGTCTCGATCCGTTTGTCCTTTGAGAAGGATCTGTCTCCCCACTTCCTATCACCCGTCTTTGGTTTTGCTCTTTATTTTATTTTATTTTTTGGTACCAGGAATCGAACTCGAGTCCTTGCACTTGCGAGGCAGATGGCGGAACCGCTGAGCAAAGTCCCTGGCCCTGTTTTGCTCTTTATACCTTGGGTTTCTCAGATAAGAGAAACCATGTGATTTTTAAGCTTGTGTGTCTGGTTTATTTCATTTAACTCTGTTTTCGGGGTGCATTTATTTTCCTTCAGATGCCTTAAAGTTACCCTTCTTGATGGCAGCCGCTGTGTATAAATACCACTTTTTCTTTACCCATCCATCTGCCAATGGCCAGGTAGGCCGTTTCCAGGATTTAGCCTTTGTGAGTTGTGTCGCTACAGACATGGATGTGCATGTTTCACGGTAATATGATGTCTTTGGTCTGCCGATGAAGGAAATGGGCGGATCGAATGGAATTTCTAGTTTCCGTTTTGCGAGGAATCTGTAACTGATTTCCAGGGTGGTTGAGCTGGTTTGCATTCCCTGCAACAACACAGAAGCACACCCCCACCCCAGCACCACCACAGCCTTGCCGGCAGTCAAACCCTTTCAAAGAAAAAAAAGTTTATAAAGTAAAACATCACAGCAGGGGGCTAGAGTCTCCCCACCGTAGTCCCAGGAGGCCGAGGCTGGAGGATCACTTGAGCTCAGGGGTTCCAGACCAGCCTGGGCAGCATAGTGAGGCTCTTTCCGTTTGGGCCACATTTCCTCTGCACCTTTTCTCTTGGGCCCCAGGCACTGGCAGTTGCAGTGCAGCTGACTGCCGTGCTCAGCAGGGGACTGTGCCGGTTTGCATGCGGGCAGGTGCTGTACCACACGGCTGGGTGTGCAGCAGGACACACCCTCCGAAAAGTCAATTACCAGTGTTGTTCTCAGGACACAGTGCTGACCTTAAACATCTTGTGACTGTGGTTTGGCTGCAGCAGGCCGGGGTGGGGCCGTCTCGGCCAGAGATGCTGCCCACTGGAAGCAGACCATGTGGGGGTCCCAAGGCGTGGCCAGAGAACCCCCAACCACAGGGACCCTGCTGGGCCCGGGCTGTGGTCGTTCTCCAGCAGAGGGTGGATGGGGGGGGGCGCCATGCTGCCCGAGGGAGCAGGTGAGGGTGGGAGGCAGGAGAGAGCCCAGGGACTCCCCTGTGGATTGGATGGTGCCTTAGCAGAAGATCGGGGAGCCGGACTCTGAGAAACTGGAGTTTGGCGACTACAGCAGGCTGGATGCTTGCTTCATTGCCTACACCCAGGCAAAGGGGGAAGATGGGCTGATTCTGGGAGTTCCCTTATGCCTGGGTTGCTCCACATGCCCATTTAGGCACGCAGGGAGTGGGTTGAAAGTCCAGTTTTGTTTTTTCGAGACAGGATCTCACTATGATGCAGTCCAGGCTGCCCTTGAACACCCCACTATCCTCCTGCCTCAGCCTCCCAAGTGCTGGGATCACAGATGTGCACCAGCACTCCCGGCCTTATTTCAAGCTTTTGAGGAGCCTCTGTAGTGTTTTCCATAATGACCTCACCAATGTGCACCTGCAAACTGGGTCTGAGAGCTGCTCTCTGTCCATATCCTTTCCAGCATTTGTTATTCCTGTCTTTTTGGTAACAGCCATTCTGACCGCAGAGACCAGAACTCCCAGGGCGTTAGATGGCATCTTCGTGGGGACTGGGGGTGTGGGAGCACTTTTTATATACTTGCTGGCTTTTTGCACATTTTTTTTTTTTTACTATTTATTTATTTATTTTTTGGTACGGGGGATCGAGCTCGGGTCCTTGCGCTGGCGAGGCAGGCGGTGGAATCACTGAGCTACATCCCCAGCCCACTGCGCATCTTGTTTTCAGAAATACCTGTTTAGGTTATTTGTCTGTTCCGTTCAGATATTTGTCTTATTTTGTTCTATTTCATTTTGTTTGAGGCAAGGTCTCGAAATGTAGCTCAGGCTGGCCTCAAATTCATGATCCTCCTGCTTCAGCCTACCAAGTGCTGGGACTCCAGGTGTGCAGTGCTATACTGGGCTTTTTGCTTTGCTGTTGAGTTGCTATGTCTTCTGGACACTGATCTCTTGACTGGCCGGGCATGGTGGTGCCCGGCAGATCACAATTTAAAACCCAGCCCAGGCCACTTAGCAATTTTGTGAGAATCTGTCTCCAAATAAAAAACAAAAAGGCTGGAGATGTAGCTCAGTGCAATGTCCTGCGCTCAACTCCCAGAACTGCAGTAAATAAATAAATGTTTAATAATCCCTCGAGTGAGTAGTTTGCAGGTACCTTCCCCCAATCTGTAAATTGTCTCTTTACTCTCTGGATTACTTCTGCTGCTGCACAGAGCTTTTTAGTTTGATATACTCCCATTTGTCTATTTGTGCTTTCAGGGTGACATCAGAAAATCTTCACCCGGATCAGTGTTCTGAAGCACTTCCTGTATGTTTTCTGCTATTCTATACTTTCAGGTCTCACATTTACGCTTTGATCCATTTTGGGAGGTTTTATTTTTTGTTTTTGTGATACTGAAGAATGAACCCTGGGTCTTTACCCTGAGCCCATTTTATTAATTTTTTTATTTTGAGACAGGATCTCATTAAGTTGCCCAGGCTGGACTCCAATCTGTGATCCTCCTAGAGTCTCCCAGAGTGCTGGGGATTACAGGTGTGTGCACCTGACTTTGAGGGGTTTTCTGTTTGTTTGTTTGTTTTTGAGGCAGGGTTCTCTTTGTAGTTCAGGCTGGCCTTGAACTCAAGGCAATCCTCCTGCTTCAGCCTCCCAAGTGCTGGGATTATAAGCATGTGCCGCCATGCCCAGCTGAGGCTTTTTTGTTCTTTGTTTTCCAGTACTGCAAATCAAACTCAGGACCTTGCCCTTGCCAGGCAGACGCTGGCACCACTGAGCTAAATCCCCGGCCCTGAGTTTTTTACTTTAGTATGGCAAAACAGAGGGGTCTAGTTCCATCTGTCTGCAGTTTGCTATGTGATTTTCCTGTAACCATTTATTAACAAGACTTTCCTTTCTCCGATGTATGTTCTCACTGCCTTTGTCAAACATCACTTGGCTACAGATGCACAGATTTACTTCGGGGTTCTCTGTTCTGTCCCCCGAGTCCTGTATATCCATTTTATGCCAGTACCGTGCCGTCTGGGGCACTATAATTTTATAGTATGTTTCGAAGTCAGGCGTTATAATTCCCTCCAACTCTTTTTTTTTTTTTTTTTTGGTACCGGGGATTGAACTCAGGTCCTTAGGATTGCTTTCTTGATAGCTTTCTCAGCAAATTTGCTATTGTTGTATATCAAAAAGCTATTCACTTTTGTATATTTAGTTGGTTATTTATTTATTTATTTTTTGGTACCAGGGATTGGACTCAGGTCCTTGTGCTTGCAAGGCGGGTGCCAGAACCAACTGAGCTAAATCCCTGGCCCAGTTTTATTTATTTATTTGTTTATTTATTTATTTATGGTACCAGGGATTGAACTCTGGACCTTGCGCTTTCGAGGCAGACGGCAGAACCACTGAGCTAAATCCGCCCCCAATTGTATATTTAGTTTTTACCCTGTAACCTTACTGAATTCCTTTATCAATTCAATGGATTTTTGGTGATGTCTTTTGGTTTTTTTCTGTGTATAAAATCATATCATCTGCAGACAGGGATATTTGACTTCCTCCTTTCCAACTTAGATTTGTTCCCTCCTCCCCTTCCTCCCCCCTTTCCTTCCTTCTTGATGCTTTATTCCTGACTAGCTCTGAGCTTTCGTGTTTCTGCCTTTGTCCTCTTTCCAGATCTGTTCACGAGTGCCCACAAGGACTGCCCCATGCCCCAGGGCACGGAGCCCCTGACCCCAGGCCTGCCCTCCCCCTACTCACCCGCCTTTGCTGTAGACCATGTCACTGGCAAGGTAAGCAGCCTCCTCCCTCTGCCCACTCCCCACTTCCTGCCTGTCACCTCCAGCTGTCCACAGGGAGCAGGAACCATTCCAAGCTCCTTTTCCCCCTTCTCCCTGTGGATTCGGGGCCCCTCAGGTGGCTCCGATCCATCACTCAGCGCGATGAGGGTCTGGATTGACTCAGGCTTGCCGGGACCGGGCCAGGCTTGTTTAGAAAAGTCAGCCCTACCCTGCAGTCTTCCCACCCAAGTTGGCCCTGAAGGCAGCATGCTCCCCAAAAAGCCCATGACCCCATGCGCTGGCACAGCGTGCCTGGCCCAGTCTGACCCTTTTTCTCCTCTTCTTTTAGGACAAACAGCTGGATTTCTGTTGGGATCCTTGGCAGGTCAGTGCAAAGGCCCAAGTGGACACCACTGTCCCCGCTGCTGCTGTGCCCAGCTGCGCCCCGGTCCTGCCTGCCCTGGGGAGCGGGGACTGGCTGGACCTCCCCGGCTTGGGTGGGCTGGCGATGGCGGTCCATTCAGGACGCGTCGGGTGTGGCCGTCAGCTCTCCTGCTCACCTGGCCCCCTTGCTGCAGAGGCGCCTCCAGACCACTAATGGCTACCTGTCTGACCAGAGCCTGTTCGGGTGTGGCCGTCAGCTCTCCTGCTCACCTGGCCCCCTTGCTGCAGAGGTGCCTCCAGACCACTAATGGCTACCTGTCTGACTCCAGAGCCTGCGCCAGCAACTGCAGCGTGGCGGCCCTCGCCACATCTTCCCTTGTGGGTAGGTTCTGGTGGCGCCTTCACGCTTCTCCGGGACAATCTCACGGGATAGGAGAGGAGGACCTGTTAGATTCAGGGCTCCCTAAGCACCAGGTCCCGGGCTGGCTCTGGGGGTGCCCCCGTCTTCGTGTTCCTGCTTCTGGGGTTTAAACTCCTGGGTTTTCAGGAAGCTCTGAGAGGGTGGTTCAGAGTTCCAGATCTCACTGGGCCTTTGTCTCCCTTGGTCAAGCCCAAGCCCTTGCTCCTCTGGGAGGAATCTTCCCCCTGGCAGCGTCTCCAGAGAACAGCGCCCAGTGCAGGGTGCAGCTAAAGCTGGGGCTGCTGCTCCTCCACCAGCACACCCATCCTCTGACCCTGCGGCTTTAGGGTGCCGGTCTCCTCGCCATCCTCACTTCTGTCCTTCTCGCCTTCCCGGGTCCCCAGTTTTTCACCGATGCCCCTCTTTTTTCTTTTCTCTTTTGCAGTACTAGGCCTTCGTGCTGAACTATATCCTCAGCCCTTTTATTTTTATTTTTATTTTTTAAGACAGGCTCTTGCTAAATCACTGAATTGCTCAAAGTTGTCTTGAACTTGTGCTCCTCCTGTCTCAGCCTCCCACGGTGCTGGGATTATAGGTGTGTGCCCCATGCCTGCTCCGACCTCCTGTTTCCCAACCTTTGCCATCCCACATGGCCCCAAGCTGTCCTGCCTTCAGGGACCCCTGGATCTGTTCATAGAAATGCTGGCTCGAGGCCGAGGATGTAGCTCAGTGGCACAGCGCCTGTCTGGCAAGTGCAAGGCCCTGAGTTTGATTCTGGGCACAAACACACCCACCACACACACACACACACACACACACACACACACAATTGCTGACTGGGGACTGGGGTGGATGCTCACACGGCCCCACCAGCCCCTCCCTCTCCAGTGCCTTTGTGCCCAGCGCCTCAGTTTCTACCCTTGGAGCCCCACCTCCCTGTCCACCCGCCCTGCCTGTCCTTTGCCTGGTCCCTGCAGTGGCCCCTGACGGCCCCCGTGTCCTCACCCTCCCTTAACTATCCGATCAGGTCGCCCTTCCTCAGCAGCAGGTCTGACCGCACGGCTGATCTCCCTCCTGCGGTGGCTGCCATGGCTCTGTGAGACAGCCCGAGCCCTCAGCCTGGCGCTCCCGGCCCCGGTCTGGCTCTTGGGCTCCCAGCCTCTGCCACCCTATCCCGGGGTTGCCCTGTGTCACCCCCGGAGGTGAGGGAGACGTGCTGGGCTCTTCCACGCCCTCATCCAGACTGACCTCCACAGGACCATACCCAACCCCCTCCAACCGGCTTCCGGCTCCCCCAGCGGGCAGCGCTCTGCCTGCCCCGGGC